AGTGCAAGAGGAGGGGAAGGGGGAAAGATGGCAGGAGGATTTGCCATGGGTCACCCAACCCTGCCCCCCCCAAAAAAATGTATGTTGTTGTTGAGAACAGATGCCAGGGGAGGGAGGGGATAAAAAGAGGATCTGATCCCAAGGACTCAAGTAGAAAGAAAATGTTTTGAAAAGGATGATGGCAACCTATGTACAAGAGTGCTTGATACAATGGATGGATGGATTGTGATAAGAGCTGTAAGGGCCCCAAATGACATGATTTATTCAAATAAACAAACAAAACAGACACCAAATCCAACAGGTTCTCCAGGTACAATTCAGTGATACATTCAGCTTCCTTTGGGAAGCTGCCGGAGGGCAGACAGCCTCCTCTTTCTCTGGCTTCACCACTGCCCAAACCAAGCTCACAACGTCTCTGCCCTGACACACACAGGGTTTCTGAGGCTGTACGTCTTTACGGGAATAGCAGACAGCCTCGTCTTTCTTCCAAGGAGCAGCTGGTGGGTTTGAACTGCCAACCTGGCGGTGAGCAGTCTTAGGCTCCCCCAACACCCTTGGATGGTCACTGGCTGTGGGAGCTGGCCTGTGCGTTGTAGGCTGTACGACTTGGACTGTGTCATCCCTAAAATGCGTGTTGGTGCCCTAAGCCCCATGTCTGTGGATCTGAGCTCATCCGGGACTCGGTTTCTTGGTCATGTCCACCAGGATGATCCATGAAAGTCAGTGGTTTCCAAAGTGGGTGATGCCCGTGCCCTGGAGGGACCCTGGGTGGTCCAGCAGGGCTGTCAAAGCAGATACCTATACTTTATCCTGGACAATGGGGTACTTACTGCTGTTAAGTGCCACCAAGCTGGCCGGCCTCAGAAACCCTATGGGGTCAGTTCTTCTCGGTCTTACAGGGCTGCTCTGAGCTGGAATTGACCCTATGTCAGTGGGGACAGTCCTGGCTCCCTTAGAAAGCCAGTGGCATCTCCCCTCCATGTGGAATAGGGCCTCGTGTCCCTGGGGACTGTGGGGGTACTGGAGGGAAGTCTCCCCTGGCTGCCCCCTTCCTCCTTATCAGTAAGTTTCTAGAAAGAGCATGGACATTGGGATCTCGAAGGTCTGGGCACACCCCTTATCTCTCCTGGCCAGCTGGGAAATCTTGGACCTCTCCAAGCCTCAGTTTCCCCCCTCCCTAAAATGGGAGCGGCCCTAGCCACCGCTGACACTACCCCCCCCCCCTTCCACAGCCCTGGTGTCCCTCCTGAACCCCTGTGCCAACATGAAGACCTGCGAGCAGGACCTGACCAACTGCTCGGTGCCCACCTACCCCTCGTGCCGGGACAGCGAGACCTTCAGCACCTTCCTCCTGGACCTCTTCAAGCTGACCATCGGCATGGGCGACCTGGAAATGCTGAGCAGCGCCAAGTACCCCGTGGTCTTCATCGTCCTGCTGGTCACCTACATCATCCTCACCTTTGTGCTGCTGCTCAACATGCTCATCGCCCTCATGGGTGAGACGGTGGGCCAGGTCTCCAAGGAGAGCAAGCACATTTGGAAGCTGCAGGTGAGGCCCCACCCCAAGCCCGGGATCCCCACCCACCTGAGCCAGGCCCCTGTGCTCCTGGCAAGATGGGGCTGGGAGGACCGGATCCATCTCGCCTCCACCTCCCCATCTGCGAAACAGGCTGCAAAGCCCACTGCCTCCTGGCCAGAGCCTCCTGGCGAAGGCCGAGGCGGCCAGCTCCCTGCCACCAGCACCATGCCTGTGTGAAAGCCATGTGGGTCAGAGGGCATGGGCCTGTCTGTCCACGGAGGCCCAGAGGAGCCCATGGAAGTGCAGGGAATGAGACCGTGTGGGGCCCCCTTAGCCCAGGGAAGGGCGGTGTCCTCCCCCCATTGCCCTCGGCTGTGGCATCTGTCCTGACCGGTGTGTGCAGACGCACAGGGCTCTTCCAGGCGCCGGCTGACCCCTGTCTCCCCGCAGTGGGCCACCACCATCCTGGACATCGAGCGCTCCTTCCCTGTGTTCCTGAGGAAGGCCTTCCGCTCTGGCGAGATGGTGACTGTGGGCAAGAGCTCGGATGGCACTCCGGACCGCCGCTGGTGCTTCAGGTGAGGCTAGTGTGGGGGTGGGGGCAGGAGCCCCAGGTGGGGTGGGGGAGTGGGATTTCCACTGCTCCCACCTCCATGCCTACCCATTGTCCCTTCCCTTGCTCATTTTCTGTTTATACAAAGAAGTTTCATTTTCTCCTTGGAGGAGCCCCAGTGGTGTAGTGGTTACACATTGGGCTGCAATCTGAAAGGTCAGCAGTTCGAAACCACCAGCCACCTCACAGTAGACAGGCGAGGCTTTCTACCCTGATAAAGAGTTACAGTCTCGCAGGGGGCATTGAGTTTATGCTAATAGCGCTGGAACAATTTGGAGGAGAACAAAAATGGTTATAAAAACCATTTTTCTGTGCTTGACACGATGGATGGATGGATTGTGATAAGAGTTGTACGAACCCCCAATAAAATGATTTTTTTAATTAAAAAAAGAATGAATTAAAAAAAAAAACCCTCCCCCAAACCCATTTTTCATCAAAGGCCCTGGATTATACATGTTGAAGTTGTTGAATTAGAGAGTGCTTGGCTGTGTATATTTTTGCCACAATAATAGAAAATAATTCCAGGGAAAAATAGAAAAGCGACAGCCTTGGGATCCATGGGGGCCGTTCCACCCTGTCTGATGGGGTCTCGGCATCGACTCGGGTATGTCGTTGTGGAGAACGGACACCGAGAAACGGATGCCCATGGCCCAGCCAGTGGCCTCTCACCTCCTCCAAGGGCTGCCACCAGTCTCAGCCTCCTTCCCGAGCAGCTCCGCCCCAGGGACAGCAGCTCTCAGCTCTGGGCCTCTCCTCTCGTCTTCCCAGTTGCTGCCTCCCGCTCAGTTCCGTCTGGATAGTCCTTAAAGGAACGGAACCTGGCACCCACCGCTTTCTATCAGCCACACACCGGGTGGGTTTCCGTGGACCAGCCGACGTGGGGGACCCAGCCATGCACAGCTCCCTGGGCTGGGGTGCTCCCTGCCTGGCTGAGGGGCCCTCTGCAGACCGCCACCGCATTCCCTTGCAGAGAAAGCTCCAGCTTGCGCAGGGAGCCCTGGGGACTGGCTTTGAAGGCGAATCCTGCCCTTCGCAGGTGGGGAGTCCGGCAAGGCTGCGGTCCCCTTCGGATGTTGTCACTTGGCAGCCTGTGTCCAGAGCCAAACATGCTCCCCTCTCAGAGCCCCACTGTCCTCATCTGCAAGATGGGCACAGTGTTTGGGGGACAGGACACTGAGGGAAGTTAGCCTATCCCCAAGGGGCAAGTATTTTAGAAGGCCATTGTGATGAGAGGGAAATAAACCAAACAGAGGAAGGTTTTTCAGACCAAAAGGAACCAACTTGGATGGCTGCCAGGGATGGGGGAGAGGAGAGGGGAGGGGAGGCATAGGCTAGAAGAAGGCGTGCAGGGGG